TTACTTCAATGGAATACGTAGCATGACGGGCCCTAGCCGTAAAGATTAGAACTGTCGGAACTTAAGAACGTATTTCGTCTGAGCTCTTTCTATGGTAGTACCGATAGAGGAGCGGGAGTCTTTCGATATTTCGTCTGTAAGACTGGGGTTGCAGAGGAAAATAATTTATCACCCACAATGCCGCGGAAAGGCTTTTAGACTCTATCGAGACTGAGATGTGAGGACTGGACAGCTCATGCCTAAATATGACCGCAGTACTCCATATTAGCCCTTATCTGGCTCTTTTAATGGTAGAAGATAACACGTGGGGTTAGGACCTTAGTGGAGTGGTACAAAGAACCTACATTTTTTCCTGCACCTTTAGCGATGGATTCTATGTATGAGTTCCGCTTGAAGTCTGGGCTGAATTTAACGTTCAATAACTGCCCAAGGGACGCGGCCTCCCTTAGGGAGCATCCATTTCTCGTGACTGGTGGTAGTTGAATTTCCGATTGGTAAAGATGGAATGTACCTAGTTTGATTTTCGAGGCATTGAATATAACCAGTTTTCCATCACTGAGATGTTAGAGCTAGATCAGAGGAGAGATCAGCTGCCAATCTCTGGTCATCAAGAGTTTGGAAGCTGCAGCCATATATTAGCATAGATATTCACAATTGATCGGAGTACAGTCTAGGGCAGAGCAAAAAGGGAATTGGTCCGAGAAGTGGCCTCTGGAGGAACACCTGCCTTGATAGCCAGGGCCCCGAGGAACTGGCCGTAAAAACTACCTTCAGAGTAGACTCAGCTTTCTAGCTTTCGTTGGCAACCAAAGACAAGAAAAACGAAACGGTAAATGGAAAACACTTTACTATCTTTTCAAAGAATACATGATGGTTTGCAAATAACAAAGAAACGCTATCTGTGACGACCTGTGATCGCCAGCGTCCTGATGAGACATGGCAATAAAAAATAAAACGTTTCCTTGGAAGCTTCACATAAGATTGATTGATGTGTTTCAGAACATATAATTTCCTTATGAGCCATTTAATGATGACATTTAATTTTCTTGGGAGCTTTGAAGTGATGTTGTTTTGTTGAAGTTATATTTTGGAATACAGTTTGACTTCTTTAAGAAATTGTAGGATATTGAATGGATTAATGTCAACAAACAGTTATTTCATTTTGGTTATTTGATTGGTTGATTTTGTTTAGCAGCATATCAAGCACTATGGGTTATTTAATATCGAAATTTAAATATTTTGAACAGAATTTTATGGCTTCAACTAAATATATTCTGGACGGAATTGTATGTTTTCAACTACAGATAAAATGTATTGTTGGACACTTTGCTATAAAATGTATTGTTGGTAATTCTACTATCAATATGTACTGATGATATGTCCTGGAAAGGTAGAATATGGTAGCAGTAATCGACTGGTATGCGTCGTAGTCGCAGGTAAGAAGTGTAGATCAATGGCGTAGTCCAATAAGCGTCATTATAGACTTACCTCTCAGACTAAGGCTCTTTGACTCTCCTACATGTCCGTTAGTATTTATAACGGACACCAGCCAATTATATTTCAGTGAGTGGGAACACAGGTGTACGCATATTCCATTTTATCATAAACTGTGCCTCTCTACCTCTAGTGTCTCTTGGGCCTTGTACAGGTTGAACATCATTGTAAAAAAAAAATAGAAGTATCTGTTGAATTCCATCTTACTCTTTCTCTGTATGCTTTTTCCCTCTAGAAGAGAGTCTCTCCTGACTGATATGTTCATGATATGTCCCGGAAAGAGATATATTTGAACGAAGTAGCTAAGTAGTTTTGGCTACTATAATCAAGTAAAATACGGTAGCAGTAATCGACTGGTACGCGTCGTAGTCGCAGGTAAGAAGTGTAGATCAATGGCGTAGTCCAGTGGGCGTCGTTATAGACTTAGCTCTCAGACTAAGGCTTTGACTCTCCTACACGTCCGTCGGTATTTATGACGGACACCAGCCAATCATATTCCAGTGAGGGGGAAACTCAGGTAAATGTATATTCCATTATATTAATTGATTACAACAAATACGTATTGTTGGTAATTTCTTTATATAAAAATGTATTGCTTGTATTATTACTATAAAAATGTATTTTTATAATTTGGGTGCATAGAACGTTCACTCTCGACAATGAGACCCGGGTATGAATCTCATCATGGTCGATTAATTAGGAAAGTGACTTCTTGATATTATCGGCCTGTGTAGGCGTTCCCAGCGTATAGTACATTTTGAAATTGCCTGAAAACCATACCATGGGTTGTCCTAAGCGTTGTTAGTGAAATTGCGAAGAACAGAATTTTATGGCTTCAGCTAAATATATTCTGGATGCAATTGTATGTCTTCAACTACAGATAAAATATACTGTTGGTCATTTTGCTATAAAATGTATTGTTAGTAATTCTACTATCAATATACAGTGTATACAACAAATACGTATTGTTGGCAATGTCTTTATATAAATATGCATTGCTTCCATTATTACTATAAAAATGTACTTTTATACTTTGTGGTTTTTTTTGTGGGGAGATCATAATTTCCTCATAGCTGGAACCCTAACAGGTGCTACCACCCTTGGTTAGGACGGACCTGAGAACAACAGCAATTAAAAGATGATAACACGCTCCTGAAGACCTCAAATTCCCCGACCAGAGTTCTTACTGCTGGATGTAGTTTATCATCATACCCAGGACTCACACAGAACTCGATGTTAATCCGCTGTTTCAGATTCCTTTCACTAATTATCCGGCGACAGTATAACATGAACACATGCAATTTCCAGTACCACGCATCAGTGACTCATCTGGTGTTCGTTTTAAGAAATCCGAAATTGGAAGATAGTCCGATGACTTTTCCTGATATAAAAATTTGTCTAATGCATAATCTGAGCGACACTCTGCCTTCATTAAAGAAATTAGATTGTCATATAATATATAATGAAAAATAAAATGACCAGAGAATTAATATATATATATATATATATATATATATATATATATATGTTGACGAGACCACGGTTTATGGGTGCATAGAACGTTCACTCTCAACAATGAGACCCGTGTTTGAATTTCATCATGGTCGATTAATTAGGAAGATGAGTTCTTGATATTATCGGCCTGTGCAGGCGTTCCCATCGTAAAGTCCTTTTTGAAACTCCCTTAAAAGCATACCACGGGCTATCCCAAGCGTTGTTAGTGAAATTGCGAAGACGGAACTATTTGGGAGATGTCGATGGTTGCACTAACACGAAGTTACAAGTCATCGTGACCGAGGGTTTCAGTGTACTGGCTTTATTCAAACCGTTGATCACAGCATATATTTCGCTCTCTTTTAGAAACTGTAACGAAAGTCTGCTCAGTATAATTGAACTATAAGCAAGAGGTGGGCTCTGTGCGTGCTCAACAAACACACATGTGTCTGAGCAGGCCTCGGCACTGGGGATTGGCTAGCCGTCGTAGTAGACAGGCATATTCATTTATGGGTGCACCTCCAAATATCTAGATGACCAGAGACGGGCTGCTGATCTCTCCTCCGACCAAGATCGCATAGCTTGATGAAAGAAGAATTGGCGCGTAACATTCAATACCTCCAACAAAAGACAGTAAAGTTTCATTATCACAGAGCAAACCCTTGGTTTATTCCAGTTGTATTCTCAGAAAGGCTCCTTAACCATAACGTCTGTTGGGACTCAAGTTCAGGTGTCAAACGATCCATTCTTAAAGATGCTGGAATAATTGTCCGTTCCTTTGGACTGCTCCAAAAAATATCTGATCCTTCCATCTATTTTAATGCGTTGACTGTTGTCGGCACGCCCACGTCGCTACCGAGTGTGACACAAGGCCGAGTTTTAAAGGCAGTTTAACGGCAATTCCGTAGAAAAAAAAGCTCAAAAAACCTCGTCACTTGCCCTTTTAGAGACGCCTCTGACACCGGAGACTGACCTCTACCTCTCCCGAAGGTACTGGCTTCAGCTTAATATTATTTTGAAACCATCCCAGCCAAAGAGGGGGAGAGGATTTCTCTAATTTGACAAGAGTTCAGATCAGACCAACAATGGTACATTGCTGCCATATCTAGTCTGGAGCTGCTAAATCCTCCCTTTCCAGATTTGATAGAGTTCAAAACTATCAAGCTGATCAGACTTACTATCGAGACAGTAGGAAATGGTTGTGTCATCGGCGAAGTTACGAAGCTGAGAGATGATGCCACCAGAAAGGTCATTAATGAAAACTAATAAGAAATGCTGAAATAGGTCCCTCAGAAAGGCTAATTAAAAAAAGAAATCCTATCAAATGAAAGCTGTACATTTCTAAGTATGTGCCATTTTTTCATGGGACGTATTTTTGTATAAGGAGCACTCCATCTTTAAAAAAACATTACCTCGTTACAAAAGAGATAATTGCAGCTGGTTGATCTCGCTGTTCAACATGCAAGAAAGCAAGCATTTTTATAAAAGGTGACACAAGAGATTGTTTAATTTTCTTCACTTCTTAAATGTAAGCGTTTGGATCACCAAAGAAGACGCTAATCACTTTAAAGAATAAAAGAAGAAAGAATAGATTTCAAGGAAGAAAAATATTGAAGGAAGAAGAACTGACGAATCGAAGTGAATAAGTTACGCATGCAATAGATGAAGGAGGAGAATTCAGCGGAGGAAATAAAATAAGGAAGCATTTACAAGAAGAAAGTAAAGAAGAGGAATTAGAAAAGACGAATGGTTTGGGGATGTTTCAAAAGAAAAAAAGGGAAAGAATAGAAAGGGAAAGAAAAAGTGAATGTTTTAATAATGAATTAAATCATAAAATAGTTGAAGAAAACGGAAAGAAAAAGAAAGATCGAGAAAGGCGAAATATATAGCCTTATAAAAATGAAAAGAAAAGCAAAATGCAAAAAGGAATGGAAAGTTAAAACCAAAACAAAATAACTGAAAAAGACAAAAACAAAACGAAGAAATTAGAATTGAACGAGAAAGAATATAACTTAATAAATAAATAAATAAAGAAAGAAAGAAAGAAAGAAAGAAAGTAAGAAAGAAAGAAAGAAAATATAGTTAAAAGCGAAAGAACAGTGATTAAGAAAGAAAGGGACCAAACAAAAAAGTGAAAATGAAAGAATATCGCTTTGAGAAAGAAAGAAAGAAAGAAAGAAAGAAAGAGAGAGAGAAAATTCAAAATGAAAGAAAGGGTAGTTAGAAGCTAAAGTAAATAGCTTAAAGAAAGAAAGAAAGAAAGAAAGAAAGAGAGAAAGAAAGAGAGAAAGAAAGAGAGAAAGAAGAAAAACTGATAAAAATTAAAAGAAAGAAAGAAAGAGACCAAACAAAAAAGTCAAAACGAAAGAATAAAGCTTTGAGAAAGAAAGAAAGAAAATTCAAAATGAAAGAAAGGGCAATTAAAAGCTAAAGGAAATAGATTAGAAAAACAAAGAAAGAAAAAATGAAAGAAAGTAGGAAGAAAAGGGTGAAAGTAGAAAAAACTGACAAAAATTTAAAGAAAGAGACCAAACAAAAAAGTCAAAACGAAAGAATATAACATTGAGAAGGAAAGAAAGAAAATTCAAAATGAAAGAAAGAGTAGTGAAAAGTAAAAGAAAACAGACGAGTGAAAGAAAAACATGGGAACATACAAAAATAAAACAAAGGATAGTTAAACGCGATAGATGATAGCTTAAGAAAGAAAAAAAGAAAGAAAGAAAGAAAGAAGATAAACCAACCAAAAAATCACAAGCAAAAGAATGTAACTTTACAATAGAAAGAAAGAAATTTAAATGAAAAATAAAAGAAAGAAAAGGAATTTTAAAACGACAAAATAGTTTAACGAAGAAAGAAAGAAAAACAGAAAAAGAGAAAAGCGGTAATGATTATTGAAAAAAGAGCTATTCATCAAATAGACGAAGAAGAAAAAAGAAAGCCACTAAAAAACAAAGAAAGGCAATCTGGGGCTTCAATCTAAATGAGAAAAAAATAGACGGGGATCCACGAGGACGTGTAATAAATTGTAGAATCGTTGACAGGTAGTAGTAGTAGTAGTAGTAGTAGTAGTAGCCGTTAAACACAGTGCGCGGAACAGCTGCATCGAGATTGATTGTTGAAAGAATCACACCAGTTTTGGGAAATGGATGATGCAAACAATTCAACATAAATGAATACTCATTAATAAATTTCTAGGCGAATAGGGATTCGACTCCTTTCTGTACACAGTCAATGATGTGGGTCATACAATTTGCGGGGGTCGGGCATTTGACGCTAAAGAAAAAGAAATATTTTCTAAAGATCAAATCAGTCAGTCAATAGTCCACGCACTGTCCTCAGTATGACACCCAAACAATCTGAAATATTTGTATTGGAGCTTCCGGCCAACTAGTACAGCATGCCGTTTCTAAATTTCTATCGGAGAGAATTTTTTGGCACAGACGGTGCCCAACTGACCCTACTATACTAAGCACTCGAGAAAATCAAAAACAAACAATACAGATGCGCGAAATTAAAAATATAAAATGGCGACAATTTACATATCACACCCTATATATATATATATATATATATATATATATATATATATGACAATAGGAAAACTGTAGTCGTTGCCAACGCGTTTCGTCCAATGTGGACTTTATCAAGGCAAAAAACGAAATGAATTTATTTAAACAAAGTAACTAGTGATAACAGAAACAAAATGTCCTTAGAAGAATTTAGAGAACGCTATTTTCATACTGTTAACTGAAAATTACGTCAGTTACTGTCACGTGTGGAGATATTGTTATTATTGCTGTGTTGACGGATTCAACCATTTTATCAGAAGGAAAATCCTAGAGAGTGCGCCATTGAATATTACCCAAATATTAATCTACGCCCAGTCTTTTACCCTATTTCACCTTTCTTAACTGTTATTCATATAAGCAAAGAAAACATGGTTCATATAAAGATCTACATGTTCTTGCTCTTTTTTAAATTTTTCCATTTCACCTTAGGAGTCATAATCTGATCTCCCAAAATATTTAGAAATATTTAGAAAGTTATGTATTATTTCTGTAAGTACTGTAAGTATTTATTATTTCTGTAAGTACTGTTTGTGAAGGACAAGGTATGTTGATGAAACCTAGTCTTGATTGAATTCTTAGTACTACCAATATAGAATTTTTTTAACTGTCGGAATCTCTATTGAAGAGATGGTACAAAGATAAACAAGAAATTTAGTTAAACATTTGCTTGACAATGAGTATTGGTCAGAATTCCTACAATTTCACTAGCTTGTATCATTAATATTTTCCTTGGAACCAGATTATATAATTGGTTTAAATTTTTATTATTGCACAATTTACTCGTAATTTATAATCGCCTGTTGAGATGCGTGGATACACATCAAAACAAGACTACAACTGTGTAGCGATTTTACATGTTTTTGGTGTAATATTCTAAAAAATATATATATATATATATATATATATATATATATATATATATATATATAAAGGGAACTTCATGAAGGATTGAAATAAAGTATATATATATATATATATATATATATATATATATATATATATATATGATCAAGTTTTCCTCTCGACTATCCCCCTTTTTCTAAACTTCTCTTTATGCTTCTTAAATAAACTTCGAAGTTGGAAGCCAGAGTATGAATGTTGGTAGCATTACTGAAGTCCTTTATGTTTTTCCTCTCACCATTGCTCATTTGGGAAGACATAGTGGGGCTGACACAAAATGATTTTAACCTGTTCTCTTTCTACCTGAATAAGTCAGAGCGTTTTCCAGTGATTCTTACGGCAAATTGTATCAAGATGTCTAAACATCTTATTTGAAAACCTGAAAAAATGTAACCCAATTATTTTAGTGTTCTTATATATATATATATATATATATATATATATATATATATATATATATATATATATTAGTGACGACTTCATGTCGCCAGTGTTTGTAGAGTTCTTTAATATATATATATATATATATATATACACACTACTGATGCTAAAATGATTCCTTTACTCTAACGTATATAATTTAAAAAAATCTCTAGTCAGATATGATTTTGAAATAATGTGTGTCTCTGTCTCGAGTGTGTGTTTGTAAAGGGTGTTCCAATAACTTGAACCGATTTTAAATGGGAATTAAGTTTAAGCGTCGAATGTGTATATTTCTTTTTCTTTCAGATTTGGCGGACATTTAGGCGATATTAATTTTCATCTATAATTGCCATGACTTAAATAACATGATCCAATATAGCAATAAAGAAATTTTCACCAGATTTATTTACTGCAGTATTTGATCCGTCTTAATGAAACACCCTTATATATAATCCGTCTTAATGAAACACCTTTATATATAATACGTCTTAGTTTATATAAGTGTGTTTATGTATCTCTCTATGTCTGTTAATAGTAAGTAACTACAGACAATTGTCCAACTCACAGAATATCATCAAAAAGTGATATACATACAATTAAATGAAAAGGAGCCCCCCGCCCCGCGTAAAAGTACGTTGGAGATATATGACCGATTCAAGATGGAGTCGAGGGAAACCGGAGGGTCGCAAAAGACGGAATTATGATAAAATGACCGACATGTTTGCTGAAAAAAAAATATACCGAATATAATTTTATCAGTTTTCTCTGCCCATTTGACACGCTGTTTTGCTGCCGCTTCGAGGTGGTGTTAATGTTTTGCAGGTTAGCTTAGCTGGATCGATTACGATTGAACAGTGACTTCGCTGGGTGCTACATACTTTCAGCCTTGTACCACATCAAAGCTTCGCTTAAAACGAACACAATTTTTCACGCTGTTTTTTCTGGCTATGGTGCACATTTCATATTTCTAAAATATCACAATCTTCCTGGTCGTAGAACACCACATAAACTATAGCCATAGTGGGTGTCCCTAGGATAAGCTATTAGGTGGGTGCAAAAATAATGACGTAATAATGTCGTTTTTTGACGTTAAAATACGTCAAAACCGACATTATTATTATCATTGCACCACCAACCAATAATTGAGTTACATAGAATATCCCACTTCAAACTAAATTGTTATGCACATTGGGTTAAGAATCTCTCCTCGAACGACTAAAGTGAATAGGTGGCTCTGGGTATTTTAAAGTCCCTAGTCTGCTATGCTATTTAACCTATGCTTAGAGAAATATGCGTTCATGCCTTTTCCAAGCAGCACTTTGCAAAAGTAAACGAAATCGACTCGGACAAAGATTGAACTCTGCTCGCCATTACTAATCTTCGCGCTGATAGACATTACGCTACCTGCGGGTGCTCATAATTCGAATGAAATGATACAATTTAATTATTGACTTTCTCAACTACGCAGATGTGAAAAACATTGCCACCTGTGTCAATGGTTATATTTAAACTATATTAAAACAATTCAATCCTCAGAGAAGTTTTGTTCTTTTCGGCAATTAGAAAAAATATTTAAGTTTTTTATGAAAATAAAATAGAATTTTGCGTATTTAGAGCAGGTTTTATTTATAGATTTTCATCAAAAATGACGTCGAATATGTAGTGACTGATGTTTACCAACTTACAAAGATAACCAATGCATTCACAAAGCTTTCAGTATAAACAGGCACCCATTTTGAAAAATCGCTAAACGATATTCCCGTATATTTCAAAAAACTCAAAAATAATATCAAGTTCATGAGGTTTCCATGCATTAAAATTTCGAATGCAAAGTCAATACAAAACTGCAGGATAACAATAAACGGACTTTGGATTCAAATAACTGAACACGTAAAATGCTCAAAACTTTTAAAAGGACGAGAACAAAACGTGGTTCCTTCCTATATACCATTATCAGTGAGAGAGGACATTAATCTGTAAACAAGAAGAACCGATTAAAAAATATTATGCTCAACAAAACCTTTGCCGATAAACAATTTATATTTGGACAGTTTTTACATGCTCTTTGTCCAGAAAAGAAAGCTGTTGTTCCAACACAAGAAAAATTAAATAAAATACTT